ACACACACACACACACACGCACACACACTATCACACATGTTAATACCTGTTTACTCCATAAAATACGGGATCCACACTGATGGAAGCACCACCGTCCGGCGATAAGAAGGCAATTGTAAACTCGCCCCCTGCGGGTCCAGGCGCAACACTGGAAGAAAAAAAAGAACCAAAAAATGTTTGCATTTTGATATTTGGATCAAAGCTCAACTTTTGCCTTTTGATATTTTTGGATCAAAGCTGTCTTTAAAAATCATGTGTTTCTTTGTTAATGTGTATCCCTGCTAAATTGGTTCCCCAAAATGGTTACGAGTAATATTATTATGATCATTTGTATTATCTGGTGTAAATGTGTTTTCTGAAGTTGAGTAGCGCCGTTATAACATTCTTACAAGTAAAGATGCTTTGTGAAGTAGGGACAATAAAGGGGGCTCTCGTGACCTTAGAGGTCAAGGTGTTCGCATCTCATTCAAAGGTCCCGGGTTCGAATTCGGATAGCAACGGAAACTTTTTCTTCTCTAAAATTGCCTCCTTGCACCTCCTATCCTACTCTCTAGCAATGTTCTGTCGTCTGCTTTGTCCTCTACTTTCTGCCCCCACCCCCTCAACTCCTTTGCCCCCTCCTCTTGGCTCCTGACTCTTTCTGCTTGCTTTCCACTGCTATTTCTTGGCTCCTTCTTACTACTGTCTTTCAGCCACATCCCTGATCTTCTGGTAGGAAAGATCTACACCTAGCCTTCTCGGACAAGAGCGAAAAATCTGGGATGACCTGTGAGCAAGTAGCGCACGTTAAAGATCCCTTGGTGGTCTAAAATCATTAAGAGTATGCTTCGGCAGAAACCCGGACAAATTTCAAAATTTCCCACCAACTTGAAACTTTTCATGTGTCCGCGGGCTCATATGACCTTATGCAGTTGCGAGCGCCGTAAAACACTTATCAAAAAAAAGGGAAAAAATACAATAAAAAAGAGACTAGACCATGCCTGCTTAGTAACCTTATACAATAAAGGTTGAGCGGTGGTGACAATTGGCTTTATCCACCAGTCTTAACCAGATGCCTATATTATAGTTATGTCCATCAGTGGACGTTATATCTACTGACCCACTGATAACGGCGCTGTCCCACTGTCGGGCCGTCAAGGTACAGGTCAACAGGGCTGAGCGATACAGGAACAGGGGCTCCGTCTGAATGGTCAACTCTGTACAGAGAAATCAATCAATCAATCAGTCAATCAATCAATCAATCTATCTATCAATCAGTCAATCCACCAATCATTCAATCAATCAATCAATCAATCAACTATCAATCTATCAATCGGCTGATCGATCAATCGATCAATCATCCAATCAACTATTAATCAATGAATCGATGAATCAATCAGTCAACTACGAATCTGTCCGTCGGCTGATCGATCAATCAGTCAATCATTCAATCAACAATTAATCTATCAATCGATCAATTAACCAATCAATCAATCAATCAACCAATGAATAGATAAATACATTAAAAAGATAAGATAAGATAAGATAAGATAAGATATGGTTAAACTTTATTGATCTACGAGAAAAGTTTTGAGTGGACATGCGACAACATCAGCATATAAAGATTCAGCATCAAAACAGAAGTGTAGTGGTAGTTACATTCTTGTTCAATAATACACGGACGACGATGCACAACTCAGTCAAACATGTGTACTCAAACGGTAAGTGCATGAGCTTGAACTCTATCAGCCCTCCCTCTC